GATAATTATTATTATTATTATATTAATTTATCAACAAATCGAAAGTGTTAATAAACCTACGCCTGATGTGTACTTAAAAAAAATAATTCCTTATATATCACGAAATCAAAGGAGATCGTAAAAATATATTTAACTTTCAGTTACGAACTGCGCATCCCTTTCTCGAGAAGAGTTACCTTTTATATCTGAAAGGATGAACTTATTTGATTGCTCCATGAGAAGTTCGAAAATTGTCAAAACTAAAAGAAAAGCATCCGGAGGCTTTGATACTTTTGTTTATACTCAGTCATGTAATGTATCCAATCCAAAAATGTTTTTATATACTACGATATTTAGGATGCCCTTTCTATGACGTCATTTTTTTTCAGTATTCAATAACCTTTTTCTTGCGTAAGGGAGGGAAAAAGGGGGAAATTTTGGGAAAATGAAAATAGTATACGTAGAAACTATAATTAAAAATTCCGAAATATATACAAGCGTTAAATTATCTTTGGCGCCATTTAGAGCAACGCGATTACTTAAAAGTGAAGGAATGTTGTACACAAAGAAAACACTTTATTCCAATTATCACACTAACTGTGACCACCCTCTCATGCTTTTCTAGTCGTATGAATTTGTGATAAAAGAAATATTAGTTGTACAAACAATCGTTCCAGTTATATGCAATACTTACGCCTAAAAATCGATCACATTGCTGTTTGAACGGAGAACTTCCTATGTAGGATACTTTACTTTTTGAATTCTTATGGAAATATTCAAACAATTTCTCTCCCAGAAGGGGGTATCTGGGAAACAAGTAATTCTGAAAAAAAAAATCGACAGTTATTAAAATTGGATAGCATAATGGAAGCTCAATAAAATTGTAACATTGCATGTCTTGCTTTTAGTTTGTGATTCAAGATTATTGGCAATGAAATAGTTAAGTTATTATAATTTTGAAAAACATTGAATATATGGTACTAATATCCCTCGTCTCGCTTCTTATAAAGTAATTATGTACATAATTGCTTATGTAATATACATACGAAGGTAGCAACAATTTCACCTTTTTAAATTAATCTCATTTGTGTCCGCTATAGAAATTGTAACAGCAGTGCTGATTTATAGTATATTATATTTTAGCAATCATGAGGAAGCAGTTGAGCGGTTAAAATGTATAATATATTATATGTGTTAATCATGAGCCATTATTCTCCGAATCATTTTTGTATGTTGTTTAGTGTTTGGTTTGATAAGCGGAAACCAGTCCGTCCACTCTTATATTGTGCACATATGCCAATGAATGCGATCATTCATGATCCAATAGTCAAGTGTCTAAGTCGACACCTGTATTCGACACAAGTTCATATCCTTAATATGTACCTATAGTATGTTTAAAAATGAAAAATTTCAGTTAATATAGTGTTAAACAAATTCAGTGTTTCACTAAAAAATCTCAGAATATACTGGACAACGGTCTGGTCGTCAATAACGCGGCGAAAGCCCAAACAATATGTATATAACAAAACTTTTCTAATAAGAAACGGTGACTAGATTTATTGATGAGTGGTCGGTATTGTCAGATAACGGAACGGAGAAAATGTTATAGTTTCTGTTAATTTACAAATTTTATAATTGTAGATTATTACGATGTTATTAAACGAAAATAAATACTTTTGTAAAATAGTGTTCATTTCTTTTAAATTGAACATACTAAAATATTCAACGTAAATCGGTTAAATAAACGAAGAGCTTTTAAAGAAATCATGGGTTTAGAAAAAAGATGGACTAAATGTATTGACTAGTTAGGAGACTATGTAGAAAAATAAATTATTTTTTTAAACTACAATAATTATCACTACTTTTGGATCATCCCTCGCATATTAATTTCAACTGCGAATGTAAAAACTCGAAGAACGATGACCACGGAATTACTGCAGCCTGTTAAAAAGAGGCGAATTTACTACCCCGTTTGGCCTGTCATAGACAACGGCCCATACACACAAAATACAAAATCACTGAATTCATACGCCTTTAAAGAGGAAATGAGGGAGTTGGCTAACTCGCTCCTATTAATGAAAAAACCTTAGTCAGATCTTTATTACTTAATCCAAATGAACATGCCAAGATACAAGGATTTCAAAATAGTCGAAATTGTTGGATTTGCGAGACACAATACGTTTGTAGACTGTCACCGCATCATTCCACCTGAATCCAATGCAAATTAGACGACATAGAAAAGCACTGCAACGCTTTTTTATATCCTTTTCTGTACAATCGTGGAAACGTTTGTGCGACTATGTCATTAAACCTGACGACTGATGTAATTGATGGCTTTATTACAAATTTTACAGCTGATGACTGCATATAAAATTTATTTGGGAATATGAACATATGTAGATCAGAAAATAACTTATGCACCACAATTTAGACATAATCTACCATATATTATAGAAGCTAGTTTAGTTGCACATCTGAAGGGATATGCTGCATGGGTATTATGATTAATGATTATTTCTGAAAATAAAGGGGTACATCGATAAACATCCATCGGGAGACATGCATTACCATATGTACAGTCCACCTAAAATGTGCGCGATTAAATACGTACGTTGCAGATCATTTGGCATTTAAATGTAAAGCCTTGGAACAAATCATTAAACGTGTAGCAACTAAAAAAAAAAGATAATTGAAGAAGGGACAAGTTAGTCATCAAAAAAGCAATGAAACAACTCCAAAAGGTCTATCCAAAATAAAGCTTTTGTGAGTGTGTCAAGACCTTCTTTAGCGAATCATATGAACATCATTTCCATAAGTATATTGTTGCGAGTACGAGTGTGTTTGTGTGCGATCTAGCACACGTGTGTGTAAATGGCTTATCAATGCGTTCTGGGAAATCAGTTAAACAGTTCCAAATAAAAAAGAAACTATCCGGATGTTTGGATAAGGCTCCCGAAAATAAACAAAAGAGTATTTAAAGGAAGAGACGACCGCCGAGAAAAGAAGAAATAAATTGACCGTTGCAAAAGTGAATCGAGAAATAAATTGACAGTGAAATAAATAGCGCAGTGAATAGTAATATATCAACAGTAGTGTAAATAAATAGAATAAGTCATCACCTAAGTTTAGTAATAATTTAATAGTGTTTTAAGTTCTTTAATAATTAGTGTAAATAAATAGTTTTGTCGTTGGCAGTCTTAAAAGTTAATTTTGGTGTGTGGGGTTGAGTAAAAGACATTACAATGACAAAGAAGTACGAATTAAAAGTAGCCGAGTTAAGAAAAGAATTGGAAGAACGGGATGAAGCGAAAAAGGTAACAAAGCGGAACTTGAAACGTGAATTGGAAGAAAATAGTAAAAGTTTGAAACGTGAATTGGAAGAAAACTTTGAAACTGTTAAACGGGCCTATAGCAAACAGGGAAGGGTTCGGCTACTGTGTGAAGAAACGGATTCGACAGAATCTTTAGAAGAAACCGAATCATCTCCAAGTTCGATAAAGAAACTGGAAAGCTAAAACGTTGGAATTGCGGCGAACTAGGTCATACGAGGAGGCAGTGCAGGAAAAGTACTCCTTCCCCAAGTACACGACGTCAAACAGACTACAAGCAGTGTGATCGAATGGAAAAAAAATGAAGGAGCAATTCGACGCGTCACGGTAATCGATGACGAGTGGTCACCTAAAAATATAAAACACGACCAAGAAAACGACCTGGACTTGAAAAAGGTGATGGAATGAAAAAGAGACGGAAAACGACCCACGTGGCAGCAAATTTCTTCCTGTACCCAAGCACTAAAATCGTTATGCGCTCAGTGGAACTCAATTATTTTGGAGGATGGCATCCTGAAGCGTGTTGTTCAAAGTCCAGATGGATGCTTAACGATATCCACGAGTCGGTTCGTCTGCATACGCAGATTGCTGGTGACAGAATTAAAGAAAACTGTTCTCTCTGCCACTAAACCTGTCACAGCCGGTATCCCACAAGACTTCAAATTATCTCCCACTCTTTTTAACTGGTTTTGCGAGGACATTGATTCTGACTGCTGACCACATTGCCCACATAAATTCTTCCAAAACCATTCTACAAAACACAGCTAGAATAAATATGTTTCTACCCCTGCTTCTAAACTGGTACCGGAAATAGAAACTTTCCATTAACGAGACCAAATCGGAAGCAATTTTCATCTCACGTAGGCTCCGGAAACCTCCCTCCATCATCATAAACAACCGCCCCAGCAACTCCGGCACTTACCTAGGCGTCGTCTTCGACAGATCCCTAATTTGGCGGCACCACATCACTGTTACCCGTAACAAGGCTATGGGTGCATTCATCGGACTGAAATCTTTCTTCCGAAATGACACAATCTCCGAACAAACGAAAATCCGTGCGATTAACCAATCCTACGCCATCCCAATTTGGGGCTGCACCCATCCCCGACGCTTTCGAATTCTTCAAAGCACTTACATGCGAATTTTTCGCTCCGCACTCAACCATCCATGGTTCATCAGAAATACTCAAATTCTGAAAAAAACCGGTCTACCTTCTTTCCCCGAGGCTACAACCAAATTTGCAGTAAATCTTAGAGCCTCAGCGTCAGGTCATCCAAACACGTCTATCTCAACACTTTCCGACTTCGCCCCTACACCGAACGACCGTTTCAGAAGGCCCTGCCACCTTCTCTTCTGAACTGCTTACTTTTGCTCATTTCTAGTTCCGCTTTTTAGCGCAAGCACCTACCCTACTTTTTTGATGGGACACCTATTCACATTTACACCACCACCACACCCAAATACTTCCCTCCCCACTTTTACCCCTCCAATCTTCCCAACAATCCTCCCTTTCGGGTTGACATCCTTACTTTAGTCGGTAGGCGCTTCAGCGAATCTGACACTATCCCCTTCAGGGAGTGTCTTTTCCCCTCCTCGAGGATAAACTAAACAAAAAAAATACGGACTCACGACAACCCGGCTGATCTTGCTTCAAGGAGCTTCCTACCTGCGGAGCTCATTCTAACAAAAACAAATCGGTTTTTACTCTCTTTCCGTCGTTCAATAACCTCACAGTAGACATAAAGGTTGTTGGGGATCTTATCAGTGATTCCTTCATCGCCTTCCTTCGAAGATTTATTGTACGGCGAGGTTATTGAGCCTATATTTATTCCGACAATGGCACTAATTTTGTCGAAGCCAATGACAATTTGCGTGAATTAATGGTGCTAATAATATCAGATAATTGTCAAAATAAGTTGCAAGATTTTCTTTAAATAAAACCCTTTCATTAGCTTTTCTCACCCACAAGATCTTTGTGGGAAGCAGCCGTTAAGGCATTTAAGTATCATTTAAAAAGAGTGGTCGGTCATAATATCCTACTTCATCTGGAACAATTTGCGCTTATTATCGAGATCGAAACTATAGTGAATTCACATCCTTTAACCCCTATATCTTCTTATCCTCAAGACTTACTAGTTCTAACACCCAATCACGTTCTAACCGGTGATTCGTTAACGATCCTACGCGAACGAGACTATTCAGAAATACCCTCCAACCGTTTATCCGTGTGGCAGTTCTTTCAAAAATTAAAACAAAATTTCTGGAACCACTGGAAAAACGAATAACTCAACAAATTTACTAATCATTTTAATTGACTAACGGTCAACATCTATTCGTTGAAAACAGCAGAAGAGAAGACAACATGCCTCCCCCACATTGGCCCTTGGGATGCGTAGTGAAAGTCCATCCTGGTGTTGATGGTGTTATTCGTGTAATGACAGTGAAAACAGAGAAAGGGACTGTGAAACGTAGTGTAAAACAATTACCACCGTTA